ATTTGCAAAGGATCATCCATGCACAGTGCACAGATCATTTCAGTTAATAACAAATATGCTTTCATGAAGTGAATGACGACACTAAGTATATTTTTCTTACTTGGGAAAATGGTACGGAAAACATTACTGTCTGGCAAATCTATGTTTGGATTGTTAGTTATTTTAATGTCACATTAACAACAATAAACATTCTTCTGCATTTAAGCTATAATCCCTAATATATTCCACAGCATACCTGAAGAACAAAAAAATAGATATTCAATGATATGTTTAATGGTTAAGTAAACTTCTAATGTTAAAACCTATTACTGACAGATGGTGAAGGTGATATTAACATCAGATATTGCCACCATGTGGTCTTCTCACATGGACAACCTCAACATTTCAGTTCAATCTGAATTCCATTAAAGAAATCATGATACCACCAGGGTGGTCAGGCACTTCCCCTTAATAATGACACATGAAGTCAAATAGGCCCCTTCCCTTATAGACAGTTCCCTTAAACACAACTCAAGTCCAATAGGGTCTTGGTGGGTCCCATCCCCTAAATAGAAAGATCCCTTTACAGACTACACATCAGGTACTATTGGGGCTTGTGAGTCTCACAAGCACAGACAGACAGACTGTCATCCCAACCTCTCAGCTTACACATGTCACACCTTTGTAATTACCTGCACAGGAGTCTCTGTACTTGACCACTTGCTCATTAACTCAAGTTAATATCAATGTCAAAGGCCTGGCAGGTGATATTTACATCTGCTTGATTACTCAAATCAGTGATCTGCGCAGGTAGAAATGAATGGGGTAATGATGTTTCATTATTCGGCCTTAAAATGTGAAGTACTATAACAAGGGTATCAAACATGAGCACTTGAGCTGAGAGCTATACATGCTCCCTGACATGATTAATACGGCTTCTCGAGTCTGCTCACTCTTGAAAATAAAATGATACAAAAAATAGCTCGTATTATATGGCTACAAAAGGCTACAGTGCACTAATGCAATTAAGAGCACCTAGGTTATGGTAGGTAATCGTTCAGACAGACTGTTTTGAAGAACAAAATATTTAACACAAAAAAATTGTAACAAGGTAGCATGAAGATGCTTTCTTTGTTATCTAAATGATATCTTAGAATTCAAGATTTGAAACACAGAGAACTACCACTGTGGTACAAGCAGAGTAAAAGTTTAAAGGGAAACAGACATATACTGAATAGGGTGAAATGGATAATATTTCATGGCACAGAGAGGTTATTTTGACCGTATCACTCCATCTTAATCCCATATGATCCCTGGATACCACAGGTATGGTCAGGTGCACCAGTATATCACTGTCCCATCCTGTGTCAACAGAAGACTGATGGTAGTGTATACAGGATACGGATGGATGTAGAACATATACAACCCTGCCATACTGTCCATACCCTCACAGGTCCCATCCTGTGTCAACAGAAGACTGATGGTAGTGTATACAGGATACGGATGGATGTAGAACATATACAACCCTGCCATACTGTCCATACTCTCACAGGTCCCATCCTGTGTCAACAGAATACTGATGGTAGTGTATACAGGATACTGATGGATGTAGAACATACACAACCCTGCCATACTGTCCATACCCTCACAGGTCCCATCCTGTGTCAACAGAAGACTGATGGTAGTGTATACAGGATACTGATGGATGTAGAACATACACAACCCTGCCATACTGTCCATACCCTCACAGGTCCCATCCTGTGTCAACAGAAGACTGATGGTAGTGTATACTGATGGTAGTATACAGGATGGACGGATGGGGAACATACACAACCCTGCCATACTGTCCATACCCTCACAGGTCCCATCCTGTGTCAACAGAATACTGATGGTAGTGTATACAGGATACTGACGGATGGGGAACATACACAACCCTGCCATACTGTCCATACCCTCACAGGTCCCATCCTGTGTCAACAGAAGACTGATGGTAGTGTATACAGGATACTGATGGATGTAGAACATATACAACCCTGCCATACTGTCCATACCCTCACAGGTCCCATCCTGTGTCAACAGAAGACTGATGGTAGTGTATACAGGATACTGATGGATGTAGAACATACACAACCCTGCCATACTGTCCATACCCTCACAGGTCCCATCCTGTGTCAACAGAAGACTGATGGTAGTGTATACAGGATACTGATGGATGTAGAACATATACAACCCTGCCATACTGTCCATACCCTCACAGGTCCCATCCTGTGTTAGACAGACAATGACTTGGATGTGGAGCATACACAACTGCCTCCCCATCCTCCATTCCCTCAAAGGGTAAGACCAGTGTCAGCACAGTCAGAACATTGTACCTGGGTGGGGAACATATTCAAAAGCCTCCCCTTGTTGCAACTTCTTTGCCTTCACAGGACCAACTGAACCTGACCACCATGGGCGACAGACACAACAGCCTCCCCTGCCACACCTTTTTTACCCTAACAGGTCCAACTAAACCTGACCACCATGGGGGACACACACAACAGCCTCCCCCATGCCATACCCTCACATCACAGTCCCTCCCCCATCAGTGAAGTTTTATCGGCCTATTTCTACAACACTGGATTTGCTCCAGTGCTTACACATTGCTCTTTGAAACAAAATCAGTGGTGGCAAGCCATCATTCTTTGTTATCAAATTCCTAAGATCAGGTATGAAATATTCATCATGCCAGGGCTATACGACAAAAAATGCATTATTTCACACAATGTTTGTCAGTTTGGCTTTGTCAGCTCCACCACAATTTGTAAAGCATATCACAATGAGACATGACAGGGCTTGAGAATAGGATGGGTTTGTACATGGATTTACACACAACGAGTAATTCACTAAATGTCAATAGATATGTACAAGGAATAAACCACCTAACAAAACAGAAACTGATGAGGAAAATAGAGTGTTCATGTCGATAGCGCTCTGTTGAAGTATACAAGCCCAAGGGTCAACAGCTGAAGCATGCCCTTTACATTCATGGACACTGCTTCATCATATGTATATAACTCTACATCAGATTCATTCACCCAGTAAGGTCTGGTTCAAGGGAATCACAATGCTGTTTAGGCTTCCAAATATTTCACATTTTATTAATTCTTTGTAGTTATTACTCAATGACCTTCGTTTCAAGCTATAAGAACCCTGTGACAATTACAGACTCGCTGCTACAGAGATGCCAACCCTAATTTAGCCCAATTAGTATTTAGGCCAAAAACGGATGCAAAAATTAGTACTTTTGGGCAAAATTACTATTAACTTTTCCAAAGAATTTTCATATTTAATACAAAATATATAAATATTCTAAGAACTTGTTATTAACATTGTACTCAACTAAATCAGAAGTAAGTATAAACATATAGCTTGATACTGAAAAAATGTGATTGAAATTTATTGTGTATGGTACGTATGCTATTTGATAATTTAATTTAATGCATTTTCTAAAAAAATTGTATATTTTTACTGCTATCATAGTCACATATATTGAGTTGTTTTTTCATAACAAATACGATATAATGGGTTGGCATCTCTGACTGCTATGTCACATGAGATTTAGATTTGTGTTTGTTGTTTAACTCGCAGCTCAGCAATATTCCTGTTATCTGTAGCACTGATTTTGGAAGAGACAGCCCAGTGACTGACATCATGAGTACTGAACCACACGACTTTGATACAATGATTGTTTGCTGTTAAAGGACATACTCATATACTACTTATGACATGGAGTAAATAATTGAGTCCTGACAAGACAATCCAGGGGTGGACATAATGAGCATCATGCTATTGTGATACAATGATATTCATCACCAGAGGCAGTATGCCTAACTGCCTGATCTTATTAGTAGCCTCTTGCAACAAGTATGTTTTGCTGGAGACAAATTCTAACCAATATGTGTGAGATGTAAATACATTTCAGTGTATGAAGTGAACTGATCTTATTTTCCTAACACTTATGAAATAAGCAGTGTAGAATAATGATTTCTACTTCACACAAAAAATACTGCCAGCGAAGCAAGAGAATTCTTTGTTAAAAGGGCTGTATACATATCTGTAATAATCTTCAAGAAAAGTAATTTTCTTTTGTAACTTTTCAATGCAGGTTCACATTTTGGTCAAATGTAGCATCCAAAGGGGGCCACAGACCTCTAATATTAATATAACAGTTAGATGAATGTTTAGGACCCAAACATCACATCTCCAATGACATTGTTTCATGGGTCAGAGGTGCACATCAGCAGTGCTGCACTGTGTTGGCATGTCAGAAACAGTGCACATCTCTGACCTTTCACATCAGCAACCCACGATTAGATGTACAGTGACACACACCTGAATACAGACACAGGGGAGTGAGTGAGTTTAGTTTTACGCAACTTTTAGCAATATTCCAGCAATCTGTCATGACGTAACAGATTATCGATAGTAATAAGAAAGTTCCTTAAAATCTTAAGATTACTTAATTTAATTCCTTTTGAGTTGTATAGACTGGATTGATAGATGGGAAATCTTGACATCATACCCCCGAGTTGACATGTCTTTACACTGAAACAATCTTCCTGCTGCACAATTCATCACACAATGTAGAACTCCGGCCATAACACTACGTACTGGACAAGAAGTATGATGCAATATAACTCACTGTGTATGTTATCTCATGATTATCACATGATCTGCACATCTTTTTTTCAACTTTCATCTTTCTCAAATGCTAAACATCACATGGGGGCCATTTCCTAATCATTCTGACAAAGAGAAACATCAAATAAAGATTCCGAGCCTAGACTTTGCAGAGGGACATTACCGACAAAAGCAGCAAGGAAAGCCAATTTACACTTTGCCGCAATCCCTTGGCCACACCGAAGCCACTGTCTTAGCCAGCCCATTGGCCGAACGGTAGACAGGAGTCGTGAGCGGTTACAGAGTAATACAACACAGGGCTCTTGTGTGAAACTTGGGCAAACTTGTCAAATACTCACCAAATACACAGCATCCATGTGCAAACATTCACCTGAAAACACAGAAAACACTTCAGTGATGCTGTCAAAATCACTTTGTAACAGGAATGGGTATGAAGTAAGGCCAAGAATAAAAACTCCATTCAAGAGGGGTTTGGGAGCAGTGCCTGTGTGTCTGGTTTAATACTGCCGGCCTGTCAACCATCTATTGTATATGTTTGCCCACACCAAGCACTCAGCACAGATGTATTTTCTGCTATGTGTGCAGTTTATGTATATGTTCCTTTATCAGCCCTGAGCTACTTTGATGTGATAGACACAGTGTGTAAGTATTACAAGGCCCTCCTATCCCTTCACAGTAGTCAGTAATCAGAGTGCTGGGAAGAACCAGCATAAGAACCACTACATTCAGTTCTCTAAGTAAGGATTTCGTGGTTGTCAGCACTTTTTCATCTTTTATTTAGCCAATACTTAATTCTTCTGTAAGATTAAACACTAAATCTAATTTGTCCAAGGCACAAAGAACTGATAATTGATTGAATGAAGAAGAAACATATACTTTCCACAAGACAAACATCAAATTCTTTTCCAAAACAAAACATAGCATTTGATAATTATACTTTATTGATAATGGTGTTACTACATAGTATAGTGAGTGAGTTTGGTTTTACGCCGCTTTTAGCAATATTCCAGCAATATCACGGCGGGGGACACCAGAAATGGGCTTCACACATTGTACCCATGTGGAGAATCGAACCCGGGTCTTGGGCGTGACGAGCGAACGCTTTAACCACTAGGCTACCCCACCGCCCGCTTGAACAGTGAATTAAGTGTAAAGTTGTATGTCCACAATACTGTCTCCCTTGTTCATCACACAAACACTAAATGTCACGTAACTCTTTTCCCACATCAGTATTTCCACTGACAGCCTATAATTTATCTATATTCATTCTTTTGCACAAACTTCAGACAAAACTTTAACAGTTATACAATATTCGCACTATCTGTGAATATTTGGCTGTTCAAACATCATTTGTAGCTCTCACTTTAATTCTATATGATATGCATGATGTTCATCAGAATATATATTTCATTACCAAAAACTGTATATGAGAGTTAATTCAATTGTCTTTATAAGTTATTAACAACACACTATCACCATTCATGTGGCTGTATGGCTACCATCTATATATACACTCGCATGGGGTCTAGCCGGCCTCCCAGACCCCTCACCCGAGAGAATAAATTAAAATAGAAGTGAAACTTTAGTCTAGAATGATTTGGCAAATCTAGATCGCCTAAGCTCTGAAATTAGAAATGTTCTGGGCTCCTTTATGATTATTGATACATTTATAGACTAACAACTAGTCTCTGAAATAAGCATATTTTACTGGGAAAAAAAGTTCTCAGTAAAAATATTTAAATATAATGAAAAGGAGCCCTGAGACTTTCTTTGGAAATCTAGAGTTGCCACTTTTTCTAGACTTGTGTGAGCTTTCTTTGATATATTTGCTTCAGGGTCTGTATGACAGACTAATACATTTATATAAGACAACTTTATTCCTGGGATTAAATGTCAGTCCACAATGAGACTCACCATTGACAAATGTAGCCAGGCAAAGGAGTCCCACCAGCACTGGCCAGTGGACCCTCAGGTAGCGCTGGCCACTCATGGCTGTGAGTCGAGCTAGTCTAGAGGCTGTGCTGTGTGGACCCCATTCCCCTGGTGCTCCTCTGTGAGTATACTCCCTGGATCACACAACACAACACACATATATCCTCCACCTCCGTTCCCCCTTCTGATGGGGCACTGACACTTGTCCACAGGTAATCCTTTACAGCTGTTCTACAACACTATCCATCCTTTCATCCTGAAATTTGAAGACAACCTGTTGAAAGCATTTCCTGCCAACTCATGATTTTCATGATGATAATGTATGAAGAAAGTGGTGTTAAAAAAATAGAAAGCTTTCTTGAATATAATCACAATAATGATAAACACAACCTTAGAAAATAGTACACTGTGCCATACTATCTAATAACATCAAAGGATATAATCTTCAATATCATGCTGAATGACCATACTATGGTAACATGGTTAATACATAATACTATTTATTTATCATGGAGGTTATAAAGTGCTATGTTTAAAACATTTGGAAACATTTTAATCTTGAGTTAGACTAAATTGGCTAAGTTAAAACAAATTAAAAACAAATAATACTTAGTAAAAACTCATTTAAAGTTTCATTTAGATATTTCACAATCCTACGATGATATATACAAACCAGGGTATGATCCACAAAGTGTTTGTAGCCAGTACATGCTGTTGTAAAGGATAAAAAATGATTAATGCTAAAATCTTTGTGGATTGAGCCCCAGTAATTTTGCTAGTGACAAATGTCATGAGTACATTTGTGAACTTTCATTAACAAATTTTAAAATTTTATCCTCAATCATTACCAAAGTTTAAAAAACATCTTTAGGGCAGTTTAGATGAAATAAATCAATGTCCTAAAACATTAACTAACCTGAAACCTTGTAAACCATAATAGAATATCATTCACTCTCATAAACAATTTATCAGTGGTTTTTAATCCCTGTGCAAGATACATGTATCTCTCTTAACTCCAGTGAGATCCCTGTCTGTCACAGCTAAGCCTGTCCATGCAGTGACCAGCGGGCAATGAGACGGTGGCCTATCTCCAGAGTAGCCCTACAGGTACTCGCCATCACACTACCTGACAGTCAGGCTTACACTGTCAGGGAGATGGGAGCCAATGCATGGCATGCACTTAATCATAGCCACAATAGCCACTTGTTGAGATTTGCAATAATAATATATCAACATTGGATAGGGAACATTTGAATGTTTTATTGCAGTTGAACTTGCAATGACTTAATGATGATGCAGTATAGTTTGTCAGAGGGGAATACTGTTAATATTCCTTTGTTATCTACTGTTAGCTGATCTACTAACAAGTACCTGCAAACTAAAACAAATGTCAAAAACCTAACAACTTCTTTTGTGCTGAAAGAACCATATTATCTTCAAGGAATTTGTTTCCTAAAAGGTTTTGCTCTAAATATCACCCAAAATTCTTTACGAGGGTTGTTGTAATCACTTTAATTTAGAAAAGTTGAAAAACTTGAAACGAAAGATTACATAAACAAAAAACAAATGACGAAAGTCAAGATTGTATTGAACTCTCTGTCTTTTTCTATGGAACTCTCACATAACATCTGTTACATTGTCTGAAAGACAGGTGTTCAAGGGAGGGGCTGTGTAACCCTCCCACAAGAGGAGACTGAGCTGACTGCACAGAGGCTGAACAAATACCTTAAAAAGTGATCATAACCATGACATTTCAGCAACATATTGTTTACAGATGTACTCACAATAAATTCATGACAAAGCTCACTGTGAATGATCTGGATCAAGGAAATAAAAAACTCTTTTATTGCGTTCATATAATGAATCAGTACCCTGCCATTACTGCAATGTTTGAATGCAAGTAAACTGATGCTAACATAATGCACAACAAAAGTTCTAAAACTAATAGTTTATACTTATTGCATGTAAGTGTCAGTAATGGTGGGTATTAATCATAAAATGATAGGTGTATTGCAGTTTGTTCATGACGTGTCTACTAAGGAAATTACATTTACTCTTAACTCCTCCATATCAGGTAAACAGCCTGTTGGTGGGAGCAGTACCAAATGATTATTGCTTGGAATACAATACAGGCTTTATACTACCAAATACTGACTACACTGTGTCACATAGTGCAACCTTTGTATCTGCCTCATTGTTGAATATTGTGTTCAAACGTTACATAAAATTTATAATGTTGCAAATTGTTACATTGCCTTGCACTAGATAACAGGTGATAACAAGTGGTATATAGTATATACAAACTCCCAGCTAGGTAGCTAAACATCCCCACATAGGTTTAGTTTGAAATCATTTTGTAAAATAAAACAGAGAAACTGAAATGGGAGAACAAATTTAGTTTAAATAAAAGACAAACAAACTGATTAAGTTATCACAGGTGATAACGTTCACCAGTGTATGAAATACTTGAATATTTGCAGTCACAACGAAATCTGGGAAATGTGTAAATATTTTGGATACCTGATCAAAAACAAAAATAAAAAAACAAACTGCAAATATTTGAAATAATTATCATGTAGTTTTTCATGAGACTATTTGATAACGTATCTCAATGCGATATTACCGCGAGTGCTCTTTAAACACGATAACTACAAATTAGACTCAACTTTGATCTGTAGTTTTAAATTTGACAGTAAACCAGACAACATACAAACAAACAAAATTTCACCCGTAAAAAAATAAAACACTGCAGGAAATACTGTATATGAATTTCACTGACTAAGAGCACCTCAGGCACAACTTAAGTTGTCTTAACTCCACTCTTAAAATAACCAAACTGTCAAGTTAACTAACTGCAATGTAAACTCTCTAAAATGATTATCTAAACTAAAGTACTAAACACCAATAAGTAAATGATTTACAAACAGACAGACTTAATTCCCATGTTTACACAACACCGGGCCTGGTTTTTGGAGACTACAAAAGCAGACGATACACTGTCGTGCGTTCGAACCGCTCAGCTGTGGAAGGTATTTTCGCTTACCTGAGAAAGATGAAACACTGACACAGCGACAAAGTTTAAAAATGATCGGTAAAAGTTGCGGATAGGTCTCAAAACGCTTTATATATTCCCTAAAAATGACTTACCTGTCACGCCGGTGTATAATCCGAACTGCGACATCGCCAGATGAAGGTAACATCCACTTGAATGTGAGTTTACAACCCTAACAGCGCACGATGGGACCGCCACCGCGAGCTCATTTGCATAAGGGAGCATTCCGTGATTCGTTTTCCGCCGAGGGCATTGAATACAGGCATGGTTATTTTTAGCCAACTCTAACCTAGCTGAGTGATTGTTTAGTTAAACGTGCAGATGGATATTATTCAATATCAAATGTGTCTTGGAGAAGAGGTGGGGACGAGATGGTAGCCGGTCAGTTTGTGGACAATATATAGATATATACACGGTGATGTATGAGTTATGGAGGCACGCTTGCAATCTTGACGTTCTCCGAGTTGGATTACTTGGCAACATCTGGGTATCTGCTTGCACGCGTCCCACTAACAGTTACGGAATGCTAGCGTTTCGATAAAGTAGCAACCAGCCGAGTTTAGAAGAATGAAAAAGTCAACGTGAATTTAATTTTTGTGGACAATCCATGTTTAAACGTGCGCATTAGCAGAGCCTGCGTCGACATACCCACAGACGGATTCTTGACAGTAAATGCCTATTAAGGGCAGTAGGTTGGCCCAGTGGTTAGCTTTCGTTCATTACAAAACAGGACACGGTTCGATTCCATGTCGACTCTTTCTCGTGTCCCCCGCCGTAATATTGATGGAATTTTCCTAAAAGCTGTCTGTAAATCATATCCATTCGTGCCCAATATGGGTAACGGATCTACTTGAAATATAAGGATCAAAGTAGACGAGATTTTATTGCTTACAATCTCTCTTGCAGTTATTGTCGGCTCAAAATAGGTACCATCAGTATAATTATTAGCAAAATTATACAACATGCATTTGAAAAAAATATAATTTTGACAAAAGCGCTGATCTGCTTATCAATTGGAATAATTTTGTACTGATGTACACGGTACTTGTGAACTGTTCATTGAAGTATAGGCTGTCGACGGCGAAAAGGTTTCAAACGATTTTTTCAAGTTTTAAACAGATTCCTGTCTAAATTTGATTCCGCGGATGCTAAGAACCAATGTAAACAGAAAGAACCCCGTGACGCGTGTTCCCGATATTTGTGTTACAGTGTCTGTCACTGTAAATTTGGCGTTAAGACGTTGTTATTTGTCACGTGATGACGTAACTATGACGCCACGTGGGGAGCAGTACAATAGGCGTTGTCGCTGTTCCGCTGATAGTGTCATTGCAGATAAAGCGTCTCAGTAGGAAGTTCAATTAATGGTTCGTCAAATCAGTCCCCAGTACTTAAGTTCACATAAGATGCATTTATCATTGTGTTCCATCAATTGAATCTCGCACATCGCTACATTTGATAGGGTCGTTGATGATGATGGTGTCAACTGGATAAAATAGGCTTAGCAGTTCGTCCAGCATCTCTTTCACGGTACACGGATTGTTACCATCGCTATGACGCCCTGAATCGGAACCACTGATGTGTTCTTTTAGGAGGCAAGTTTGATGCCGAGTATTCAAACATGTGAATAACAAACATTTCTCTATCTCTTGTGATATCTGTCCTCAACTATTTTATTTTAGTGATGTAAATGTTATGAACGTTCTTGCAATAAATACCACCAGAGAGGATGCCAGGTTATAACTGGGAGCCGTTCTACAAAGCGATCTTAGTGCTATGAGTATCCTAACCCAATGGTGACGTGTGAGAGTTACGGTCACTTCAGATCCGCAGCATCCTGGGCCCCGTTCCCCAAAGCGATCATAGCGCTACGACAGTCGTAAGTCTATGTTAAAGTATGGCAATTACGACTGTCGTAGAGCTACGATCGCTCTGAGAACCGGGGCCTTGTGCAGGGCCCCGTTCCTCAAAGCGAGTCGTAGCGTTAAGATGGTCGTAACTCCCATACTTTACGACAGTCGTAGCGCTACGATCGCTTTTCAGGAACTAGTCCTGGGCCCCGTTCCTCAAAGCGATCGTAGCGCTACGACAGTCGTAAGTCTATGTTAAAGTATGGGAGTTACGATCACCTTAGCGCTACGATCGCTTCGAGGACAGGACTGGGACCGTTCCTGAAAGCGATCATAGCGCTAAGGTGATCGTAACTCCCATACTTTAACATAGACTTGGCCCCGTTCCTGAAAGCGATCGTAGCGCTAAGGTGATCGTAACTCCCATACTTTAACATAGACTTACGACTGTCGTAGCGCTACGATCGCTTTGAGGAACGGGACCCTGGTCGTAAAAGGCGACCATATAGGTGGATCGGATGGAGAGGCTCAATGACTTGACTGATTGCGAGTCAGGATATCCAGAGGGCGTGGATCGTTGATAGTAATATTAATCACTGGATTGTTTGGTCCATTTGATCATGTACAGGCCTCGGCAGCATAACTTGACATGCGGCGTAACACAACATACAACTTTTAGTCATATATAGAAATCGATATATCGGTTTGAAGGCAATATTAAACAATTTCTACTTAACCTCACCATTGAATTGTATTCATTATGTCGTTGAAAGGTAAAGTGTGTTTTGTCATTGCAAGACGTGTGTTCAGTGACTACATGATATAGTTACCTGTCATAAAGGAGTTATGATCCAGTTTACAATCACGCTGCGTTCACACCTACAGGTGAGAGGGGCTATATAAGAAGCAGGCTGAATGACTGCAAGGCTTGCATACTAGTTGTGTGCGTGTAAATGATGCCCCAAATGTTTTTGCTCTGCGTACAGATTAGGATCTGCTAAATACACTAGTACTGTTCAGAATGATCTCCAAACCCCGACGCTCAAATATTTTGTTCGATATGTTTTTGTCTCCTGCTGGCGAGGGGCGGTGGGGTAGCCTAGTGGTTAAAGCGTTCGCTCGTCACGCTGAAGACCCGGGTTCGATTCCCCACAATGTGTGAAGCCAATTCCTGGTGTCCCCTGCCGTGATATGTCTGGAGAATTGCTAAAAGAGGCGTAAAACCAAACTCACTCACTCCTGCTGGCGAAAATGCATCTGTGGCATTACCCACTCCAGTGAAGACAGACCTTATAGTAGTCTTTATCAGTCTATATTAATTAGTCTTTACTGTCATATAAAGCAGTCTTTTTCATATATTCAGTCGTATTTATCATCCATGTAAATCGCTTATATTGGTTTGTATTACAAGGGGGTAAGCGCAGTAGTTGGAACAGTGAAACAAATGCACGTGCGGTACGTTATGAGCGTTAACTCAGACCAACCCTACTTGATCTCGGTGTTTCATTTTATGTGCATACCCCCTTGCAATACAAACCAATAATACCGATTTGAAACTATGATCGTTTGTTAAACAACTTTCTTCCCAAGTTTAATTGAAATTTTCAAATGGCAAGGTAAAAATTATGAGGATTCGCAATCATAATTTCACTTTATTTGATTTACTTTTTTGTTTAAAGTGAAATTCATCGGTACGTTTTCACTGCAAACAGACTATAACATCGTTAACAACCGTAAAGGATTATCAGCAACATAAATTATAAGTTGAACAACTGCACATATCAACTGGTTAGAGGAATTGTCAGTACCAAATTACCAGCAACATTTTGAATTAACAGGGAGTCAGGGTCATTCACTTTCCATTATTTCCGAAATACTGTCACATCAGACGGACAATATCAACTTTGTATGTGACGTTTGTTTGTTTTCGCCGCTCTCAGCAATCTTCTAGCTATATGACGGCATTCTTGGCAGAAATCGAGTGTGGACCAGACAAGCCTGTGATTTATATCATGAGCATAGATACACGCAGTTAGGATGCAATAACATACGTGAACCAAGTCAGCGAACCGAACCCGTTTATCGCCTCATCGACAAGAATGAGTGAGTGAGTATGGTTTTACGCCGCTTTTAGCAATATTCCAGCAATATCACGGCGGGGGACGCCAGAAATGGGCTTTACACAAGAATGAGGTGCTGACCAGTTCTAACCCGGGTCTTCACGGGTTTGCAAGTGAGGTTGCGAATGTTTGTATGTGAGTCGCGAAACACCTGGATGTATTTTCATTGCTAACTTTCAATGATTTCCAGTCATGTGATCTTCAACGCTACTTCACCTTTACGCCCAATGGTATATGTTTCGGCTGACAATCGAGACTGAATATTTTACATTGTACGTATCATATATTGTAACTAACACAGTCTCCACAAAAATATACCCTTCTCGGTCTAAATCAATAATATATGTACACGATAATCTGCCAATGACCCGAACAGATCTTCTTAGATAATCTCCGAAAAAGATATCAATGGGCACATTCTTTATGCCACCTTGGTCAAGGTTTATCGTTCCTCTTTGAAGCTGAGTATTTGAATCAAAGAAATAAATTCACCTTCCTGAATGACATGCGAAGTGCAAGCTGTCGTTCCAAACCACTAAAATGTCCATAAACTTGTTTGCGTTTTGACCGAAAGAGGGGTCCGGTAATCAAATCCGGTTTGTGCCTACCAACGAATCATCCGGGTAGATCAGTGTGGCACCTTAACATAATGCGCGGTCCGGTCTGGTTACCTGGGATTTAATCTCAGCTGGTGTCCGATGGGTTGATAGGCTTGACCGGAGGTAACATGCAAGGTGGGTCTCGAAACCTGTAGGTGTGTTCCAGATATGTCGTATAACACTTGCCTTGGTTCGAAACTAGTCGCCTCGAAACTAGTCACCTTCCTGTCCTAACCTGCATGGGTACTATACAAAATATAGATTTAAGATTTGGTTGAATTCAATTACTAAAGTATAAAACATTGAGGACCCCTCTTAATTTCTTGGGTAGCTTGTGAGAAGGATTATAGGATTGAAGATGTACAGATTCAGCCCCTACGGAAGCGAGAAGATAGACATATTTACTTGGTAAAGGGGTCAAACGAAAGACACACTCAATCCGTACAGAGGCGAGAAGATAGACACATTTATTCATTACAGGGGCGAGATGAAACACATGATACAGGGGTCAGAAGAGAGACACATTTACCAAGTACATGGGTGAGAAGAGAGACACATTTACCAAGTACAAGGTTGAGAAGAGAGACACATTTACCAAGTACAAGGGTCAGAAGAGAGACATTTGTCCAGTACAAGGGTCAGAAGAGACACATTTACCCAGTACAAGGGTCTGAAGAGAGACACATTTACCCAGTACAAGGGTGAAGAGAGACACATTTACCCAGTACAGGGTCAGAAGAGAGACACATTTACCCAGTACAAGGGTCAGAAGAGAGACACATTTACCCAGTACAAGGGTCAGAAGAGAGACACATTTACCCAGTACAAGGGTCAGAAGAGAGACACATTTACCCAGTACAGGGGTCAGAAGAGAGACACATTCACCCAGTACAGGGTCAGAGAGAGACACATTTACCCATTACAAGGGTCAGAAGAGAGACACATTTACCCAGTACAAGGGTCAGAAGAGAGACACATTTACCCAGTACAAGGGTCAGAAGAGAGACACATTTACCCAGTACAGGGGTCAGAAGAGAGACACATTTACCCAGTACAGGGGTCAGAAGAGAGACACATTTACCCATTACAAGGGTCAGAAGAGAGACACATTTACCCAGTACAGGGGTCAGAAGAGAGACACATTCACCCAGTACAGGGGTCAGAAGAGAGACACATTCACCCATTACAAGGGTCAGAAGAGAGACACATTTACCCAGTACAGGGGTCAGAAGAGAGACACATTTACCCAGTACAGGGGAGAGACACATTTACCCAGTACAAGGGTCAGAAGAGAGACACATTCACCCATTACAAGGGTCAGAAGAGAGACACATTTACCCAGTACAAGGGTCAGAAGAGAGACACATTCACCCAGTACAGGGGTCAGAAGAGAGACACATTCACCCAGTACAAGGGTCAGAAGAGAGACACATTTACCCAGTACAAGGGTCAGAAGAGAGACACATTTACCCAGTACAGGGGTCAGAAGAGAGACACATTTACCCAGTACAAGGGTCAGAAGAGAGACACATTTACCCAGTACAAGGGTCAGAAGAGAGACACATTCACCCAGTACAGGGGTCAGAAGAGAGACACATTTACCCAGTACAAGGGTCAGAAGAGAGACACATTCACCCAGTACAAGGGTCAGAAGAGAGACACATTCACCCAGTACAAATATCGATAATAACGCCAACAATTCCTGTGTGTCACACTGTCCTTCTGTCTACTCCGTCTACTCTGAATGTACCAGTTCTGAACCTTTACTGTAATACCTTAAGGAATATATTGTTACAGATGATGTGTTGGATTTCATTCTGTTATTGCCAATTGTTTACAAGAGGCGATCAAAAAGTATGTAGAATCTCCAAGAAAACGATACAAATGCAATATTTTTCTACATATTATCTGTCAAACTCAAGCAATTTAGTTTTGCTATGTTCCAGTCTCACGATCCCCATTTTGTTTGACCTTTTCTTTTGGTACCCTCAAAATATGCAAGAAATATTTTGGGTGTTTGAGATTGATATAAATCCCCTAGAATCACACTTAGATATTAAAGTTAATAAAAAACAATTTGAAATTACAATCACTAAGTCTTGTTAAAGTGACTCCCCCTTTCATGTTGACTGAAGGAGCTTGTTTTGGAGACACTACCCTTCCCCCTTTCAGATGACATAATCATAAGGGCATAGCTTATTCTAATGTTTTCACTTATGCATACATGATGCCAAGGGTTCAAACTAAATACTGAATGGTCACCCAAGTGTCAGCTCACAATATATCGTAAACAGTGCTAGCTTAAATATCTGGACACAATGTTTTTGAAAGATTAAAATGGGGGTGTCCATAAAAAATATCCCCCGATAAGATATATAGAGATTACTAAACGAGTGTCTGTCAGATACCATTTATCTTACAACTCGTTGTTTCAAAACCCGAGCGAAAGCGAGTTAAATACGTTTTGAAACAACGAGTTGTAAGATAAATGGTATCTGACAGACACGAGTACAGTAATCTGTTTCTTACACACCATAAAATCGCACCATTTTATGGTCGAATAGATTCAAATTTCATGTTTTCTCATCGTAGGTGCGCAATAATACACAACACAACGTTTATGAATGAGTGACGTCACTTGGCTTCCTAATCACTACTCATCCCCATGGTGACCCTCCACAAAAAGGTTTCTGCCACCTCTTCGCATCATCAAGGCAATGGTGATAATGATAACTAGATAAGATCACAGAAAATTAATTAAACCCTCTAAAACGATGATGTTACCATGCAAATGTGGATGATTTTAATTCTTGCAAGCGTAAAATATTTGAGCGAGTGACGTCATCGTTATCGCTTGGTGGTTGTCGTCATCGAAAGATTGTTTTGGATATCTCTGCACATTGGGGATCTGTACTTGTGTACCAGTTTACGTTCAATGTTCTCCCATCTTTTGAGTGTGTGTAATTAGGTGCACCCAGTGTGCTTGAATGTGACATTGCTGAGGTTACGTTCACTATCAATGGGGGACTACTCTTCTTCGCCACATCCTTCTCGTTTTCCCCGAGCCAGAAACTGCCACTTGGAATGTAATGGAATTTACGGAGTTTTCAGTATGAAATGTGAGTTGATTACATCCTGTATGGTATCAAGACATAAACTTTTCATTATCATGCGTCGGAGGAATATCTTGAGAAATGACTTATGTGTAGATCAACCGTTCTTGTACATGTTCGATTGAATAGAAAGGACGTGTGCCGCCATTTGCACTCATGAAGCCTTGCAAAACGTACCATGTCGTACATTGTTTCAACGAGTGTGTTTTGGTTCTGATTGTCATGAGTGAATTTCACGATAACATTTGAATCACATAGTATCTCGGAGCTGGAAGTGAGTCTTCATCATGTGTATCAGTGAAAAATGTCATCTTCATCAATGCATCAAAGAAACAACGAGGCAAATCGATCTCACAATGGACAGGCACTGACGTTATTGTGTCAGGTATTTTTGCAAGACGACACATGACACTTGTCGCATCTCTCCAGTAAAAGTACCAGTGTTGTACATTTTGAATATTCGAAGGGAATCAAGGGCTTTAACTCTAACGGTTATTTTCACATAATTGTTTACACAGGTATCACTGATTGTTGGCGCCATTTTGAATTCATGACTAGGAATCAAAAGTTTTAATAAAAGGAATTAGAAAATAAATAGATTCGTGTTATATTTATTCTACTTGTGACTCATTGTATAAATACCTGTTTATGTTGCAATCGCGAAAATAACAGTTAGGTGTAAAGGGGTATTTTTGGCACGAGTAACAGGTTTCTGTTCGATTGAAGCACGAGTAACTTATCAATGAATTTTAATCAGGAAAGTAGTCCGACATAACCTGACCCTAGGTCATCACCATGGAGTAGCCAATCACGGGATTAGAAATCGATCTCACACATATGTGTGATACCAGTTTTCTCACATGGGTTTCTCACCAACGGATGTGTAAGAAAAATCAGGCAATCCAAATCTTTGACTGTTGATCATGACGGGAAGTCATTGCAGGGGTGGAAATAACTTTAAAATTGCTAGTGTACTCCGGTACAGTGGCACATGTAAAATCACTTGCCCTGATATTTATTCCACTATACCGGCCATTTTCTTGTTGATTTTTTAAAATAAACAACATAATTAACATTGGAATATCAACTGGACACCGGTACAGTGTGATATACAAATTTGCTTGCCCGACAGAAAAAACACTGGACTCGGGCGTCGGGCAATGGGTGATTTCCACCCTGGACTCATCCAATAATATACTGAATATATTTTATATGACATTATCTTAGGGCATACCATTATCCAAGAGGTACCAAATGACAGATCGTTATTCATTTTCTGCAGTTTTGTTAGAAATATTATACCCCAATGTGTTGTGATGACTAATATCTTGTTAACCACGTTACCCACATATGTAAAATGTTGGATATGACTTTGCTAAAGATTCTTTCAAAATAAAATGGAAGATTTTCAAACATTGGACATCGAGAATATAGTTAGGCTACGTACTTCTTGACCGACCCTCGTATTTACAAGTGTAAACTGGAGGATTGTATGATCAGTTTGAACATATTTAAACATAATATTCTAACAAAGCGCTATACTATTGAGCGTTACATGTATTTTAGCAAGTCTAACCATACTGAATTCTATGTTAAGGGGTTTACGTATCATCTTCTCTTTGATGTGAAGTCTTAGCTTTACTTGACATACAGTGTGTATTGACACCTGCGGCTTATTATCACGGTTCATGTGAATCTTTGGTATTGCATGTTTATACTGTACGTACTTTTTGTATGCAGTTTGTGACAGGTGTATCTTGTTAAAAAAAAACTGAATCCGTTCTTTTTCTCGAAGAGGGCAAGGACTTCCTTGGTTCCTTGTCCCCACCTGTAACAGGAATTCAGCAACAGAATATTAACTACAAAAAACAACTGTGAATGTACCTTGTAAATACCATGGCGCCAGGTCTTCATATTGTCTCACCACGTATAAATGATCCTGATCTCATGGCGTCAACACCACTGTTTGGACGACTGTTTCGGCAAGTCATATGATATTTATGGTTCAATATATAGTCTTCTGGAAACTTGGACGGCTTAGGTCAGGGAAATGATATATCTTTGAAATGTCGCGGTATTCCAGAATTGTTCACGTTCTCTTACTTAAAGGATATATTGCGACAGCATCAATGTCTGTTTATTAGAACGACATGAAGTTCACTCAAACACGTCAAGGAGTGAGTGCGTGCGTGCGTGCGTGCGTGCGTGCGTGCGTGCGTGTGACGATGTGTAAATGCAGTGCATTATATTCTTGTTTGAAAACAAAATAGGTTAATATTACTTGCTCTTTCTTAGCTTTACTTTCCACATTCTGATCAAGCCCCATCACAGAGGATGTACACCCTTAACAGTTTGCATACTTTCAATGCATACCACATGTACAATCAGACAGCGTATTCTTGCAGGCATCAACGTTATTACTTATTCTATGCTGATGAAAATGGACAAAACTCTCTACGGAGTTGTCATGAAGTATCTCTGGGGTAACAGCCATCCGTGCGGACATGGCTGCAACTTTAGGGGATGATGCTTCCTCCTTTGCCCCTTTAAGGAGGTGGGCAGTGGAATGGAAGAGAGAACCTCCAAGACGATTCAGGATCAGTGAGATCTTCAACATCTACCACAAAGGACATTATGATAAAACACATGCTGTGATTAGGAACGATCGACGACCGCACGAACATAGCCAGTTCAATAGATATATGCCACGAGAAAGTTGAGAACATTGTGAGGACTAATCTGGACATGGCTGGGTTCAGTGCGCTGGGTTCTAGACTAACATCTAGTCTCTGAAATGAACATATTTCACAGGAAAATAGTTTCTGAATTATGTAAATAGAATATCATAAAAGGAGTCCAGAGACTTCAGAAGCTGGTAATCTAGACTTGCCACTGATATTCTAGACTGTCATATGCTGCATTGGGTATATTTGTTTCAGGGTCTGTATGACAACCTAGCTGGGTTCATATCCTGGTCCGAAATGATCCAGATACATCATGGTTGACCAAGCAATACAGTTTGCATTGATGTTTCCTTGAACCGAAATAAAATTATGCCACGTTTAATTACTTGCAAACTACTGATCGGCTGATAATAAGATGTGAGGGACTTGCATCACTGCGCCGACACTGAGTAAGTGAGTGAGTAAATGTTGCCTTATGCCGAATCAGCAATTTTGCAGCTATTCGCGCCTAGATGACATATATTTTCCTATAGAAACGAATAAAGAATATAAGTGATGACGAAGATAACTAAAACTTCAGTCCATTATCACATTAAACAGTAAAACCTGACATACAGAATTTAAATCTACATTTTATCATATAGTTTAATTTCCTTCAAATACCCTAAATTAAATGATTAGAAACAGTATTGGGCTGACACTGATTCCATGCTGATATCTACAACGTGTCAACATTTGTGTTATTCAATAAATACGCAGCATTTGAAGATATTATTACCGACGTGTTTATCAATAATATTTTACTTCAACACGTAATCATATATACAAGTAACATCCGGTATACGCTTCTCTGCAATTGCGCTGGGTAACAACTACCGTTTCACGGAGTT